TATATATTGAATTATGCCCTAGAAATTTTAATTTAATACACTTTAATAAAATAATAAAATAAAAAATTAGAGATAAAAATGAAAGAAGAAAATAGATAGCCTAAACTGTTATGGCTTTAATGACCCAATCGGAGAGTATTAAAATCAGTCTGAGCTTAAATAGCTCTATTTAAGATTAACATGACATTTTTAATGTAGAAATAGTCCAATCTAGAAACGGGGCTACAAAGAGGAGAATAAGTATTTACTTAATAAAAAAACTTAAATACAAACTTACGAATTGAAGCTGCCTTCAGCTCATTAGAATGGAATTTGGTTATAACAAACTGGTTTAATTTATTAATAAACCATCAAATGCAAATACAAACTTACATAGAAATTTAGAAAGACTTTTCGAAATTAATAGGCACTTCTTCCTACTTACAATAATTTATTTGTAAACACTAGAGTCTAAAACAATTCCACACAATCACTGAACTTTTAACCAACATTAAATTTTATTGTAATTTTTCTTCGGACATACGTTCCACTAGCAAATAAACCTGAAAAAAATAAAATAAAATGATAGTGAATAGGAATGATAATAGGTTCAACTCAACACCAGTTACCCCACTAGCATGCATGGTCATTACTTTATAATTTTATATTTTAACAGAACTGTTGGGATTCATCCCAAGTCCCACATCGGTAAAATGAAGGAACATTGGCTAGTTTATAAGTGTCCACCATTCCACATAGTATGAGGCCTTTTGGGAAGGAGCCCAAAAACAAAACCGTGCGGGCTTGGGCCCAAAGCGGACAATATCATACTATGGTGGAGGAACAGGTGGACTATCGGGCCCAACAAGTGGTATCAGAGCCAACGGTTCGACTGGGTTTGATGCGGGAAGACCCTCAGTGTTGTGCCTCGCGATGGAGATTCGAACTTGGTGCCTTGTGTCGAAAGTCTTCCTGATATTGTGGTGTTCAGGCGGCGTGTCCCGTAGAGTTAACGGCGGTACAAGATGGTGACGGATTATCGCTTGAGGGGAGGAGATCACGAGACATGTGGTCCTTGGTCTGAGGGGAGGTTTGTTGGGATTCATCCCAAGTCCCACATCGGTAAAATGAAGGAACATTGGCTAGTTTATAAGTGTCCACCATTCCACATAGTATGAGGCCTTTTGGGAAGGAGCCCAAAAACAAAACCGTGCGAGCTTGGGCCCAAAGCGGACAATATCATACTATGGTGGAGGAACAGGTGGACTATCGGGCCCAACAAGAACAAATAAGAAGTTTGATATAATTGCAAAGGAATAAATGCTACAAAGAAATTTACAAAAATATATATATAATAAAAAAAGGCTTACCTGTTTGCTGTTTCATGTTGTAGTAACATGGTATCAATTTTTTCCTTGACCCAAATAATTTGCTGGGGTATCAACTTTGTTTTCTCTACCACTCGTAGATCGAGGACCAGTTGCGTTGGTAGAACTTGCCTGAGGACGCAAATAATCTGCTGGGGTATCAATTTTTTTGGGTCTAGATCGAGAACCAGAATTCCTAGAGTCATCAACAATGAATTTAGAGAAAAAAAGTTGTAATTAAATAATTAAGATTATCATAAATAAATTAAATGATAATATTATTTTTTATGAGTGAATTTAAGTAATTAATGATGCTATTTTTATAAATTATTTTTATGTATTATATTTAGTTTATTAAGAACACTTTTTGGTTGATTGAAAGTGTTTAATAAGATTAGATGATAAACTAGTTGAAATGTAAAATAACATATTTATTTATTTAGTAGTGAAAGTGAAATAATAACATATAAGTAAAATCATTTCTAAATTAAAAAGGATAAAATGAAAGTAAATTAAATAACACCTCCATGTAAATAAATAAGGAAATTTAATTTTAATTGACACAGAGATAGTATCACATATTATGACACAATAATTCCACAACCATATACCATAACTTCCCTTTCATAACTAAGATCTACAATTACCTGGAGTTTTGAGAGCCCGGATTCATTCTTGCTGAACAAAACAAATAATAGACTAGCTTATTTTAGATGTGCTTTTGGAGTGGAGATTTGTTTTATGAAAGGAATATGATTTCATTCTTCTTATAGGCACATGAGATTCATGGTACATGCAATTAAAGGAACTTGCAATGCAATTCGTGGTAAAATAAGCTTCAAGCAGAACTGGATTCATAATCACACGAAACAGAGTAGTTGAAGTTTGAAATGTTGAATTCCTCATTCGGAGTCTTAATAATGAAGGTGAAATTGCTAATGTGACTTGAATGGGGATAAATTTGCATGAAAATTTTCATGAAAGGATGAGTGAGAAGTTGTTAATAAATGAATTCAAACCATGAAAGATATAAAATGGGTTATCTAATCTCTCATCCTTATTACCTAAGAGACTATAAAATGCTGCTTCATTTCCCAGAAATTCTAAATATAAATTAATATATTTTTGGTATATGAATATGAAGTTAAAAATATAATATTGATTTCATAATTCATTCACAACACAAGAAAACGAGTAGTATTAAATTGCATATGCATGCGTTGTTTGAATTGAAGGAATAGTCAACGTATTGCATTTGCAATGGTATATGAATATGAAGTTAGGATGAAGGAGTCTTAATGGTTTAACGAAGGTGAAATTGCTAGTGTTTTCCGTAGTTTGAATAATTTTATAATGATAGGAACAAATGATGATACGCAATCTCAGTTTTATTGATTTCATACTCATCACAAGGAAAGTAGATTAAATTGCAGCTTTATTTCCTAAATATATGGAGACTACAGTTTCATGACGGCGTTTGGAGTCTCAATACTAATGAAAATACTAGATTAATTTTATAATATTAATGTTTGTACCTTTTAAATAATTATTTTTTATATTTTGGATAATTATTTTATACATATTAAATAAATATTTATATTAGCATTTTAAATAATTATTTATATGTTTTAAGGGATAATTTAGGAGTCGAGATGAGATACAACCTCCTATATTTTTACAATCAGATTAATTATATATTTTATTATAAATTTTAAAAGGTTGATTTTATTGGATATTTGATATTAAAATTATATTATTATATTTTGGGTTAGAAATATTTATTATTATTAGGGAAAAAATATTTTGTATTATATATTTAATTATTTTGGAGAAAATAGAAGCGGGTCGAGAAGAGAAGAGGATTGGGTTAACTCGGTCTAGTGGAGTATTTTAAGAAAGGGGCCAGTAGAGTTAACTATATCTGCCTCATTTTTACAGTTTGAAAGGTTAGAAGAGAAACAGAAGAGAAGAATAGAGCTCTAAGGAGGAGTACTTAAGATCAATCCCAAACGACATCAAAATTGTTCTTATTAACACAACTAGGTATAGGGAAATAATGAATCTTTATATGCAGAGTCACATGAGGGAATGGGTAGAGGGAGAGTTCCCTAGGATTTTTAGTAATTTTATACACATTTTTGTTTGGATGTTTGATAATTTCAATAAGTTTTATGGGAATTTCTGTTTACATTTTGATATTTATTGTTGGAAATGGATGCATGGGATGTGAGACGAAATTGATCCAAGATGCACCTATAGGTTAGGGTTCAGAAAAATTGGGATCTGGGTGATTGGTGCATGTTTTTGGGTAATTATTGTATGTTGTTGTATTTTTTTAGCAAGTATGATAACTTTTGACCAATTAAAATTTTAAAAAGGTGATTGTATTATGAATGTGGGGTTGGGTACGTTTTTTTTGTGTTTTCTAGGTTGCAGAAATTCACGATGGCATCGGGCCTAGTTCATAGCCCCAAGCGTACATTCAAAGGATGAATGTAAATTTCTAGAATAATTACACTAGGCAAAATTAGGATTTCGTTGGGCACAATTCCTTAAGGAGGTCTCTACCAAACCTGAATGTTGGGCATGATCTCCTATCACCGCGTGTGAGCGAGAGCAACAGCTCTCGAGCTGCGTCTCATCAGGTGAAATTAGAATTTCGCTAGGCATGAGAAGGAGCTCTTAGGTTGAGCCATGTCAGGCAAAATTATAATTTCGTCGGATGTGAGTCTGAATCAATATGGTGTAAATTAAGGAGTTTTTGTTGATTTCTTATGAGTTGCTATACATACACATACACAAAAACACACACACACATATATATTGGTGAGTGTTGGATGTGATGTAAATCAACTGTGAATTGCAAGATATGTGTATGACCTATTGGTTTTTGTGGAAATGTTTGTATTGTACATGGTATTGAGTTGGATAGTGAAATGTGGTGTGATGCTTTGTCACAAAGTTTGTGCCTGACACGGTGTTGGATGTGAGATGCGTTAGCACGGGCGTGTGCATGATATGGTGCTAGTTATGTGATGTGTCGGTGCAGTCATGTGTGTGATACGATGCTGGTAATAGAATGCATTGACATAGTCATGTGCGTGAGCTGGACGTGTGATGCGTCAGCATGAGCGTGTGCGTGATATAGTGTTGAATGTGTGACACGGTGTATATATGATTTGTGATGTGGAAATGGAATGGATTGAATTTAGAATTGATGATGTTAAACATTTTTGGATGATGAATATTGGGTTTACATATTGTTTGAAATTGATATTGTCTTGTGGAAATTTCCTACTATGTTTTTCTTATAAATATCTTCTTTTCTCACCGTATGTTTTGTAGTTGTTTTTAGGTGAGAAAGATCCTGACATGAGTGTCATTTAATGTGCCAATAGTTGAGTCATGGGATTGCTATAATAGTGTTACATCGGGCAATGGATTTTAGATTATTCATTTTCTTGTAATTGGATTTTATTTTTATTTGTTAGTTAAATTTATGAACTTATATTTTATAAATATTTATTTTAAATTATTTGGATATTAGAAGTATTTTAATTGTGAATCATTTTACCCGAGTTGGAGAACTATTTCTTTATATTTTTATATTATATATATGTATTGGGATAGAATGGGTATCACAGATACAAGTATAGGTATCTAGGCACCCAACATGTATAAGAATGAGGATGGAAATTGCTATCCAAACAAATATGAGGTTGGATATAAGTATTATTTTAAATGCAAGTACGAGAATGGGTATTTAGATGGTGTTTTTAATAACAAATGCATTGTTAATTGTATTTGGTGGGACAAATACAATAATTGTAATGTATCAAGATTATGTCAATCTTCCTAGTCCAACTTAACAATGATGGCCTTTGAATATTTGGATTGTGGCCGAGCCTTTTGTCCTACTCTTAAGGTATCGGGAAATGGCCAAGATTTTATATCCTTAGGGTAGTGTAAGACAAACCACTAGTGGAAAATTAGGATATTACGTCACCTATTTTACGTTGGACATACGAACACCCGACGTAATAAAAATGCGGTGGCATGGTTCGTAATTTTAGTTAAATTATTTACGTCGGACCTCCTAGGGTCCGACGTAAATTTTAACATCTACGTCGGCTATCCATTGTGTCCAACGTAAATAATCCACATCACCGCACTTAAAAGAAGCTTCACACTTGCTGGAGGAGATTTGAAGATTTCAAAACCTTCATTCTCTCGCGCGTTGTGTAAATCTCTCCGCCTCCTACTCCTTCGAATCTTCCTTCCTTATAATTTTTCTGACATTTCAGTCTCCATTCATACGACAAATGGGTGAGGAAGCAAAACTTTCTGTTGACATTGTGATTTCCTAGTAAAACTTTTTTTCTTACTGATAGTGTTATCCTAAATGTGTATTTTGTACTTATTATGTGTGTCTTTTTTATATTTGGAGTAGGACCAACAAGAAGAAAAGAGAAGAGAAGCCAGAGGAAAAACCAGAAGAAAAGCCAAGTCCGGGTTGCAGAACGGGCCGTTCTGCCCGTTCTGCTTGCAGTCGTTTTTCTTTTTTTTTAATTTTTTTGCAACTTTTTACGTCGGACTTGTGATGTCCGACGTAAATTTACGTCGGTTTTTTACGGCCGACGTAAATTTACGTCTCTCGCTTCTACGTCGGAGGTTTTTCTGACGTAAAATCCCTAAAAGTAACTGACGTAAATTTACTATTCTGTACTAGTGAACGTCCGAGATATGAGGAATAGTTACAATGATGACCATAATGACTAAGATTCTTAAGTCATTAATTACATTGAAGGCACAACACCATTTAAGAGATAGGGACAAGAGGTAAGGGATTCTGGCTTGAAACATTAGGCTAGTCTATAAGAGAGGGGGAAACACCAAGATAGTTTTGGTTACATTCACTAAATATTCTGGATCGAGATAACAGCTAGAATTCTCTAAAGGTGGTCCCATATACCAGAACATTTTGGCGCCCATTGTGGGATACAAGTAAATTTGTATCCCACACCTTGGTTGCCTGATGTGAGCAATAATTCACAATGACAAGGTTGCTAAGGAGAAATACTAGAGGATCGACAATGAAGGCTCCAGTGGTGTCTAGGCATGGCAACGGGGCGGGGCGGGGCGGGAGCGGGTTTTACGTTCCTCGCCCCCGCCCCCGCAAATTTTAACCACTCCCGTCCCCGCCCCCGATACCCACCGAGGTAAAATCTAGGTCCCCATCCCCGCCCCCAGCGGG